TATGTGTGTGTGTGTGTGTGTGTGTGTGTGTGTGTGTGTGTGTATGTATGTATATATATATATATATATACACACACACACACACACACACACACACAATTATGATTTTAATATTAGTGTGTTCCTTTTACAACTCTTAATATCTTATCATTTTACAAAATTTTGCTACCAGTTGCTGTATTGATGTGCACTGCCTGTGAATTCCTCAATCATTATCAGCCAGCCTTTGGCTGGCCATGATGTGAACCACTTGACTTCAGAATAGACGTTACCCCAGGACTAGTGAAGGCTGCAAAAAACTTAGATAAACAGGGAAGCAAGTCAATTTTATACTACCCGCTTGACCAGCTTGTTTCTGGAGTTTTATACATGGATATTCTGTACTTTTATGTCACGAATACAATGTTAAATTTGCCAAATATTTACTTTTTTTAAAGAAGAAAAAATTATTTGCAATACACCGTGTTCTATTTCAAGCCTGGCTTTCCTTCTATGACTTAGCCTTACTTGCAATACAACAAAATTCCAGCCTTTATGACAGAAGATTATTTTTTGATCAATAGAAGTCGGCAGCCCAGGCATTTGTGGTTTTTCTCTGGAAAGCATTTGCAGCCACAGGCTCAAAGGAGGAAGAAAGGGAGAGGGATTAACTTTCTTCAATGAAGGTCAAAAACATAATTTAAAAGTGAACCAAGAGAAGCAGCTGTGTCTGTCAGCCCAATCAAGATTACCAGCTGGAGAATTTACCAGCAATATGAAAACAATGTACACCAGATGTCAAACGATGCAACTACGAGTAGGAAAACATTTCTGGGTATGGCACTATATTGCTAGTGCTTATTACTAACCAGATTTCATATGACATACTAAAGACTTCAGCAGGCTACCACCAGCTAGGAACAAACATTTCCTCACAACCAGCTCTAGGAGCCATATTGTGTAAACAAAATCAGCTTTTATTTCTAATATAATTTAACATTTCACTTCTTTTAATGACTATATTTCAGGATCAAAAATATAAAGAATGAAGCAGGTTTATGCATTCACGTTTGCTGCATGCTGGGACATCTGCAGCTGGGCTTGTTCTGGCTTCACTAACTTGAGTTTGAGAAACTAGATTCTTTTAAAATAAAAATCTACAATAAACAAGAACTCAGTGACACCGCATTTCAGTTGATTATCCAAGGAAATAAGCTGTACACGTGCCATAGAAAAGTGTGCACCATTGGCCGCTGTGTCAGCACCTCTGTAACCAGCTGCTTTTCCTCCTTCTCCCTCAGGTTATTGTCTACATTGTGAGCGAAGGGGTATGATACCCTTGCTCATGTACACTTACTCATGGTAGCGCTCATCGGTTCAGGTGGGCTTGTAATTGGCACAGCTCAGCTGTGCCTTCACTGCTGTGACTACACTGCTAATTATACTTGCACTAGCTCAATGTGAGCTAGCAGGAGTATGTGTACATGGCAGGGGAATCTCACCCCTGGGTCGTAGTGTAGACTTAGCCTCTGTTGGTATCCTTGTCTTTGTTTCTCTCTACATACAGTACTTATTCCTCAGAGGAGCTCATCTACTCCCATGGTTTCAGATATCACATTTGTGATAATTACTTGTAAATCTAACTCAGACAGAAATACAGGACTGCACAGAAGGGAGAAATTGTCCTCCTTGACATCCCACTAATTAAACACAGCAAAAAGCAAACCTCTTTTTGAACCCTTTCCTCCCCACCCTTTAACACTGCTGAACTACACCCCTGATCACTCAGACTCACAGTTACTGGGGTCATCTCTCTAACTTTCTCCCAAAGCATCCAGGCTCTCATCAAATCATCTCACCCCTCTAGCTGTAAAACTGATCCGCCCTCTCTCACCAAGTTCCTTCTCTAGTTTTGTTTCCACATCAATTTGTACTCATTCTAATGTTCAAATTCTACGCAGCTCTGTTCCTGCCTGCATCTCACCTTCTTCTGCTTTCCTTTTCACACTGTATGCTCTGCCCACACTTCTCTCCAGAATGTCCCATTTGCCTCTCACTCACTCCAGTCTTCTCCCCAGCACCGCTCCATGCCTGAAAACAGCTCGCCTTGTCCTCATCCATGGCACATTGCTCCTAGATGGCATATCCCTCTCTTTTGTTTCACTTTCCATCACTACACTCAACTATCATAGAATATCAGGATTGGAAGGGACTTCAGGAGGTCATCTAGTCCAATCCCCTGCTCAAAGCAGGACCAATCCCCAGACAGATTTTTACTCCAGTTCCCTAAATGGCCCCCTCAAGGATTAAACTCACAACCTGGGTTTAGCAGGCCAATGCTCAAACCACTGAGCTATCCCTCCCCTATGTGCTGATCTGAATTCTTTATGATAAAGGATCCTATGAATAAGCTTAGATGTTTTGTGTTACACCCTCTTCTCTCATTTCCAACCCATCACGGGGTATTTCAGTTTCTATATCAATTATCTGCCTAAGGGCTTGTCATCACACAAAAACTGTAACATCTAACTACACTGGTATAGTTAAAATAGTACAATCCACCTAGGATTAATAGCTATTCCTGTAAGTGAACGGCAACAAGCTATACTGATATAAGGCACCTCTATAAATTGCACCCACACTAGCAGTTGTTTCAGTATAGCTACCTGTTTCCTTAAAAATATCACACCCCAATCAAAACAACTAAATCTGTATAAAACTGCTGTAGACATTGCCTTTACATAACCACTTCTGAGAAAGGTGTTATTTTCCCTATGCATCTGTGAGGCACCATGCACGCCTATGGAAGCTATGAATAATGATCACCTTAAATGGTGAAAAGAGGAAATTCAATGCACTTGATGACTAGATACTCAACACTATGTACTACAGTACAGTCTAAAGTCTCATTCTGATTAGAATGCTTAAAAAAAACAAAACCAAACAGCATCCATTTACTTCACTTATCTAAAGCAGAAGAGTTCCTATTCTGCTTCACTTTTCCTTTCAACATGTAGCAGTACATTTCTTTTGATTCATGTTTTCAATCTATATTGCTAGGATCAAGATCGGAAAAACAGTTTAATTAAATGATAAGAAATTTATCATAATCTAAATAAGCAAGGCTTTAAAAATACAAGAATGTGAAGGGCATGCCCTTGTAAAAGTCAGAGTTGTTAGTAACCTCCTATGAAGGGAAGTAGGAAGGGTCTAAACATTATTTACACAAATCTAAAATATCAAATGAACACAGGGCACATCACCAATGAAAAGCACTATCAAAATGAGCCAGGGTGGCAAACTACTAGTGAGGTAGCTGATTTGAACACTCAAGTCCAAGCAGAATGCTAAAATACACACTGATTTCATACAAATTGGTAGCTTTCTTTTTCATTAATTCATTATTACATCTTTTACTTGCAGACCTTTATAGAAGTCTGATCTTAAGGATGTTTTGTGTTAACAGTATTGGTTACTAGCCTGGCCAAGGAGCAGAAAGTGCCCCATCAGTGGCAAGGTTGCAGCTAATCGAGTAAACAGAATCTTATTTTACGTCGCTTTTAAAATAATATTTCAACAGTTTGAGTTAATTTACGTGAATTCAAAATAAAATTGAAGTCATTGTAGAAGTTTTTAGGTCACAACCTATTCCTTAGGGCTTACCTTGGCTTTGCCATCCTGTGCTGACATATATCCTACACACATGCTCTCTGTTGTATGACTCCACAAGAACTCCACTATAAGGAAAAATGTAACAAGTCACAAACAAATACATTCATTTTAAGTGTGGAAAAACTTCACTTTTAACAAAACCAGAAATTAAAGGGACAACTCAAACCTAGCTTAAAGTTTAGGTTTGGTGCTTTTATAAAAATTTAACAAAATTATTTACAAGAAAAAGTAATTCCAGTGGAAGTAAGAGTAAGCACTCCTTGTAGTAGTTGCAAATAAATACTGTAGCACTAATACCCAGAAGTAAGTGGCATATATAGTGAAAAGTAGCATGCATTTTTAAGTTGTATTTATTTATTTGTAAGGTAAGTAATTTTTTTTTACAGTACGATTACTAAAAAGGAGAATGTCTCTTTAAAATTAAAATTCAGACATATATAAAGCATATTACTGTGCTTTATTTTTTCCTCCCTCGCTTAACAAAAATTTTCAACTGTTAAAATGATTTATTCTTAGTACTGGGTAATCCCTATTTACTGTGATAGACTTTTTTCTACTCAAATGTATAATTTTTGTGACAAAAATATCAAGTGTTTCTGCTGTCCAGAGCTTAGTTTCATAAAACTCTACTGTGTGTAATATACGTAGTATACTGAAGACTCTTTTAGATTACTTACCTGCTACCAAAGAATAATGTTTTAAAACAACTAAATCTTTCTCCAGTACAAAATAGAAATCAAATAGATACTCAGAACTCTTCACCTGTCTAACAAACTTTAAGTCTGGGTTCAGCAAAATGGCCTTTGGAACATTTACATTCACCCACTAATCCCGAAGAACACTTTTTAAATTCAGACAATTCTAGGAAAAACAGGTTTGGGAATTTTGAAGAAGATATTGCCAGAATCTGTGCAAGTCAAACAATAAGAGAAAAAGGAGTTCTATACTTAGATACGTCCTTCTCACTGATTAATTAGTGAATTTGTCAAATATAGTAAGAAAACAGGATCACACAATTGGAGTGCACTGGTTCTCCCAGATCATTATTTTCCATAGACCAGGGGTCGGCAACCTATGGCACGA